TTTATAAGTAAATCAAAGCTGTTGTTCATCTTGACAAACAGTAATAATCTTAAAAAGATAATACTAAGACATGTAAGTTATTTTTTAAAGATAAAATTACTCTTCAAGCACGTGCAAACTATTTACGTCATCATTCCAGCGGTCCAATAACAAGAAAGTTACGTACAGCGACATCTTGCGAAATTTCATACTTTCTTACCTTAAGTCATTTGTAACCGGGATCGTGCATAGAAGGAACAGAGTATTTTATTTCAGTATATATACATAGTGTCAACACTAGAAATTTATGACTAGTTAATTCTTCTACATCTCACTCACCAAATATCACCATTATGAAAGACTGGAAGAACAGTGTATAGTAAAGTTTTGTAAAACCTGAAACGCAGCTGGAGCTGTCGACTCTTAAGTTCCATTACTATATCACCAATGGTAGAATAAGGACTAAAACATATCCAGAGATTTTCTGCAAGAAAGCAAAACCAAAACCAGTATCACACTTCACTAAGTGTACCATGTATAATAGTATTAATGTATAACACTTCACTAAGTTTACCATGTATAATAGCATTAATGTATAACACTTAACTAAGTGTACCATATATAATAGCACTAATATAATACTTCACTAAGTTTACCATCTATAATAGCACTAATATAATACTTTGCTCTTACTGCTGGTGTTGTCAGAACTAGGCCCGAGGAGCCTGGTATTGGGCGAAAGGCCGCGTCAGCACTGGATATTACAGATATAGTGTGTGAAATATTGTTATATATTTATTTTTACCTTCACTCTCAAGTTCTTGAGGTTAAGTTAATAATTTTAGTTAGGCCTAAAAGTACATTATAGCTTTGCCAGCTTAGGCTTTTTACATCACTCCATTAGTACTAGTAGTAGTAGTAACATTATGATTCCTCATATATATTAGGATAATTTCAAATTATATTATTTAACAACTTAAAATGCGTTAAGAATTTAAAAAATAGACCTATACAATACATCGTGTGATAACATAGTCTTAAATATACATTACCTTTTATAAGATATTGTGTAGTCTGTGGAGTTTTTTACAATAGTTCACAAGTAGTTCACTGATCTCGTCTAGAGAGTATTCCTCCGCCATGTCGTGAACCGTCCTGTTTAACGCATCTCTCCGCGATATGTCGGCTCCCACAGAAAGAAGCAAGTTGGAACAGTCGACGTGAGCGCTAGAAATAATATTAATAACGAAATGTTAAATTTCCCGAAACTATAAAAAGTAATTGCTAAAAAAGCACCTTTTATTTGTTAGTAATCGGGATTAAAGTCGTGCCTTTTTTTTTCATTTGACCTTGATAAATTTAGCGGTAACCGATTCACAATTTCACATAAGTCTATATATATAAAAGAGGAAGTTTGTTTATTTGTTTATT